AAGATATTTCATGTAGTTCGCATTGTTTGCCGGCGGCCTTTCAGGTGCTCTTTGTCGAAATCAAAATTGATGATTCGGCCTGCACAGAATAGCTTTGTTCCGGTTGATTAAATGCCGGCTCGACTGGGAAACAAGGACCACTTACATCTTTTAAAAGAAATGGCACAGACTATGAAACTCGTGCAATCTAATGCTAAAATTATTACAATGGTAGTTGTGAAAAAAATTTCAGGCTTAATTGTAATCCATTATAAGGTTAGAGGCTATAATTTTTCCTACTGGGTGAACGGATATATCAGTTTTGCCATACGTAAATCATTACGTACATCGTAAAGACGATTTAAGTGCCAATGAAGACCTGACTTCGACCGTTAAACGGCTCGTATGTGAGTGGTCAGCAGCCATAAAGCGGTCACTGCGGCCTAAACAAACAGAAGGATGAACTTTTATTTCTGTAAAGGTCGTAAAATTATTTTAATTGAATCCAGAAATCCTGTTATGAGGGATCTCCGGTGTAGATTCGGGTTATCAAAGCAAAGCTGGCTTTACAGATGGTCATTACCGGATTCAGCACTTAACCTGTTAGCTTTTATGTACACCTCGTAACTTCTCAGATCTAAGTGTAGATCGGAACTAACTAATAATTAGATTTTAACATTTACATTTTATTAGAAGGCATGCTGTAATGATATGCTATCTCAACCTTTAACTAAGCACTTTTGAAATGTGGTGGTGAAATTCATGGTGGTTTTAAGCCAATATCGCCTTAAACGATCAAACAATGACCTGATGATCTAGCAGAAGAGAATTGTAGCTAATCATTAACCAAAATTTTTGAATATAATAATAATTTTAAAAGTGCTACTTAAAGCACCTCACGATTAAAAAATTCCGACTGTCATAGGTCAATAATTTCGAAAAACAGCCAAAATTAAAGAAAATAAAACGTAAAAGTACACTGTACTAATTGTACAGCTCACTTAATGCAAACTGTTCGACGTACTTATTATAGTACTTCATAGACCACTATGCACGCAAAATGAGCTGTTAAAGCTGATATGGAATTTATAGCCCTTATTAGATATGCTAAGTTGTTACAACTCCCAAATTTAATTTTAACAAAAATTATAAATCCATACATGTTTAATGGTCATAATTGACCATATTAATTATTTCAATTACTTATTCTTTTTATCTAATATCTTGGTTGAATTGAAAAAGTCAGTGTCACCAGCGGGATTCGAACCGACATTCGGCTAAAAATTATAAAGTAAATTACACTAGAAAAAGAAAATTGGAGGATATAAAGATCGGTTACAGCTAATTTGTTTGGTACACTGACAGCTCATAAACCGGGAGACGCTACAGTTTTTCAGTAAGAAATCAAAGCACTAGAAAAATGTGCCAGAACGATTTGGAATCAATCAAATAAAATAGCCTCTGGAACAGTCTGGCACCACTTAAAGCTTCAAACTCACGTGTCGTTAAGTCAAAATGTATCTGGAGTTGCATGAAATCTGGTAGGAGTCAGTGACTATAATGTCCTAACTTCCATGTGTTATGTTTTGAATGTGTTATGAAGGTCTCACGTAACTGAGTGTACATTGTGTTCCCGCGTACTCATCGTCAACAAGACAAGAGGATCTTTAGCGTCCGCACCTGGCCTTTTGGCCTTTTCGGACGTTTTGATTGTCAGGATGAGAGCTGACGCACCTCCGCATACGACGGAATGGTGTTACCGCCGCAGCATTGGTGTAGAGGCGCCCCAGCCCCTAAGGGCCGAGACAACCTCGCTCTCCGCTTGTCCATTCCGATTGGTCGGGCCCGCATTGTGCATCGGGTCGTATGCCGCACGCAAAGGGCGATCCTTCGCTTCCCCAAGGGTACCACGCCGGTCATACGCGCAACAATGCAAAGCATACTCGAGTCAGCGACACCGCTTCACTACCCGTTTCCACCCGCTTACTTACGCATTCGAGGGACTATAGCATGATCATCCTGTCCTCAACGCTTACACGCTGCCGTCCGGTCGCAACATCTCCCGTGAGGCCGGGGGGTTTTACGCTGGCCATACGCAAGCTTCACGAAGGTCACAGATAGAAGCCAGCCTCTGTCTAAGTTCCCGCCAGGGGCGTCACCACGCGCCACCAGGAAACGTTTCCCATTGTAACTTTGGGCTGATTTTGAAACATTTAAGTTACCCCGTGGTACAGACGGCCACACACCCTCTAGTGAACTGGCCCTCTTGTGACTCTGCTAAGGCATCCGCCGCCCATGCCGACCCTAGGCCGACACGAGTACAGCTTGCGCTTTAGAGAGGTTGCCACACCCTCTGGGCTGAACCTTTATTTTGTGCCCCGATACCACCCTTGTAACCGAGGGTTAGGAGGAGTCACAGGATGGAATGAAGGAGCTCGGATTGAGAAAAAGGGCCGTGGATGAGAACACGAGGTGAGCCGTTTCGGGGTCTCGAGTCCCAAACCACACTATACCCCCCCCCGCCGTTGTCTCCGTAGTTCCACATAAAGTAGGCCACGACTCCCAGGGTGGGTGAGAAGAGATGGCCGTTCAAGATCCGAACTAGTCGGCCCTATCCCAGCCAGTCGTCTCGGGGGGATGAATCCGAGTTTGCGGAAAAGTCCCGCAGGTCGGATTGGGATCCTCAATCGCAAGCACTCACTCCTCACAATCAGTGCGCTCGTGGTGGGCGACCGGTTCCTCAGGCTTTCGCAGTTCCCCTTCAGGCTCCCTGCTACTCCCCGAAGGCCGAATGTCGCTCACACCTGGGCTTGAGAATCTCTTCCTCAGCGACTCTTCCATCCCTAACCATCCCTAAACTGAGTGTACACCAACTAGTGGTTATACTCTTCTTACCGCAGCCAGTATCCTCTATAAGATTATATCTTACCAGTTTTCTCCCTATATACATGACCGCCTTACCTTTAGATCCTCTTACACTCCCACATGATCGTCAATCTAGGTTCAGCTCTTCTAACCTCAATCCCATTAAATATAAAACTATTGCGTTAAGACGTTCTTACTCCTTCATGCGTCACGCTATCTATCAAGTCCCAATCCTGGTGCTTCAACAATCCAGGAATGAAACAGGCCAAAGTTCCAAAAGAACACAAACTCACAGAAGAATTGCTTGGAGAACAATCAGAATAAAACCCGAATTCTAGTAAGTCTTCTGGCTAGACGATGTATGTACGGACATATACCTGGCAGCTCTGCTGGCATAAGAAACATTTTGCAGATTTTGTGAAAAAGACGAATAGACCGCGGGGCACATTCTGTGTTACTGCGAGGATCTATCCGTGGATTTTTGCTTATATGAGAGGAAAACTTCAAGCCGTCTTGTACCACAAGAACCTCTAGATGGTGATGATGGATGATGTTGGAATGCTAGGAAGCTGTGGTTTAGTATCCGCCCAGTATTGCAGATTTCTGCCTCGATTCTTTTGGAGAAAGAATTGTCCTGTCTTGAGGAGGCAATTATTTTCTCGGGTCTTTTTGGTAGTAATTGAGTAGTTGTTTCGCATTCGAAGGTAATATGGGTCTTCCTATTCATTGGATAATCTATAAATGAATGATCATTGATTATGCTCATGTTGTATAGGTGCAGGTTATGGAACTTCATCCATAGCCTAACTTATGACCTCTAACATAAGCGGATAAAAAAAGGAAAAATTAGTGGGGCACATATCTTTAGGTCAAGATGGAAGAGGCCTTGAGGATCTTTTCTATTTCTAACTAATCTCTAATTGCGATAGATAGCGCTCTCGATTACATACGAAAATTGGGTAATTCTAAATTTTGTATCCTCACAGACTGTCAAAGCATTGTAGAAAGGATAAATAACATTACCCCAGAGTATAAATGCAGAAACTATAATTTTGCCCAAATCTGTAGGAAAATGCTTGAGACAAAAATCAAGGGAAAAAGGGTGGCTTTGTGTTGGGTGAAAGGGCATGCAGGCTTATGGCAAAATGAAACGGTGGACGCACTGGCGAAGGAGGCTTAGAAATTTGTGGCAAGAAAAATACATCGCAATTATTACAGGTCACTGTTCCCTGAGCTCATGAATAAACCATGGTTTTCGGAAGGCGATAGCCCAGAAGGAATGTCAAAGGAGTTCTATTCTACTATTTTTAGACTGAAGACAAATCATGGCCTATGGGGTAGCTACAAGAAGAGAATCAGTTTGGCATCGTCTCTGAACTGTCCCACTTGCAATTGCCCTTCAAATCCTTCCCACATAATTTTTGAATATCCAGAATATGAAAATGAAAGAAACAAACAGCTAAAAAATCTGAGCAAAGTCCCAAACATTTCCAAACCAATAAACTTAGAATCTCTCCTAATAAGCAACAATCCATCAGCTTTCAACATAATCTATGGATTTCTAAAGTCGATAAACGTTTCTTTTTGACTATCTTCAACCATGAAAATTTAGAAGATGAGAAGATGATGGAGCTGAATGAGTGGGTGCTGGCGCGCGGCGGGGACCTGGTCCTGGTCTGCCGATCCCGCTCGACAGTAAAATGAAAATAGAAAACTTCATCGGTAATATGCCAGCGTAAACCAAAAAAAAAAATTAATCTCCTACATATATTATATATTCCTCTCTAATTACATCTATTATAATATAATAATTGATCCTACTGCTACAATTTTGCTTAGCCAATTTGGCAAAAACAGTATTCAAACGTACTTTATTGTTGAGAAACGTTAATTTTCAATACATAAGAAAGCAGCGATAACATAATAGCGAATGCAGTGAATATATAAATATTGATCAGATACAGCCACTGAGCCTTTGGTACATTCGACCTTATGAATAAATCAGGTCTTAGAGGTATACAGTTAAGATGCAAATCTGAGATGGGGCCGCCTGACAACAGCGAAAGAACATGCTCGAGAAATCATCCGACGGAATGCACAATGTGGGAAAACATGCATAGACGACCGTGCATAGCGTATTAGCACAATATACTTACTTTTGCGCTGCATCTAATAAACTATCAATTTCGTTTTCACTGTAGTCTTCAAGGCCCACTCCATCTGAAATACGAACGAAATTTAAATATTAGATCAAAATTTTTTCGACATGATTGATAAGATCGAAAATTCCTCATCACCGTTTTTTTTCTTTAGTACACTTCTTTCATATTATTATAATATATAAATCAATTTTGTAATTATAAAGGATTTGGAATTGAAAACCTTATATCCTTAGTTAAATAATATTTCTTTGGCTCTTAAACTTTTATTTATTAGTAAAAAGCTAATATGACTAATTTGTAACAATTAAAGTTTTGTGTAATCATTTCACAAAAATTAATTAATTATTATTAGTCCCAACTATCAATGTGTGGTGTTTCTGTACTATAATATTCCATTGTTTTGCTTGTTTTGCATAAATGTGTTGCTAAAGCACGCTTTCCATTATATATTTTAATTAAAAACACACTTCCCTTGGGATTAATTATCCCAAAGGTCATTCTATAAAAATAATATAAATTTAATTGGACAGCAGGCAAGCATATAATCCGCTACAAATTTCACAAGATTCCGGTTTAAAAATTTGTCGTTTAACTTTAGCCTTTATAAAAGTTTTTAAAATATATGGGCGACTTTATTTGTCCTAATAAAACTGGCGTGGTGTTTTTAACAAGCCCGGACTTTAAGAGCCGAGAGTAAACCTTGGGTCGATTTCTACTCTCAGATTGGCTTTTAACTTGACAGTCAAGTCGGAGCAATACTTGATTTTCACTAAATGGATGTCAAGAGAAGAGTTGAAAAATAGAAAAAAAGGGAAATATTTATTCCAGTTGTCGGGTATTATTCTCTTTAAGGTCCAAGTCCTCTGACCGAAGTCCTTTTGTTTCTGCCAGCCGGGGGAAAAAATAAAGGAACGGCCTCTTTCTGTGATTCCGTGCCATATTGAATTTTCTGATAAAAAATGAGACAGCAACAACAGACTTCGCTTTCACTAAAAGAAAAATCCTGCTGGAGAGGCAGAAGAAAGGAATTAACTGACTAAAGCAAACATCTCCAAAAAGAACTTTACGACTTGTACTGTTACTTTTTATGTCAACTTTCTCGCTTTTTCTTCCTTGTATCTCGTCGTTTGAATCTCGGTATACACAATAATATAAGTAACACAGTTGACGTAGGTTGGTGTCAAGCGGCTGTGAATTGCTTGTCATGCCTGATTAAATTATAAAAAAAGGGATAATGCATTTCCATCAATTTCAATTCTATAAAACAGCCGTTTCAATTATAAATCTCTTCAATGCAAATATTANTATGGATGCATTTATGTGAATGAATGTATTTATCTGTATGAATGTAGTGTTTGTAAGTGTTGTAAATAGAAGTGTGAATAGAATATTGACTTAGCTTGAGGCTAAAATTACCTAGATGTCGGAAGCCCCATTAAAAAAATAATAATAATAATAAGAAGAAGAAGAAGAATACTTTTAGTGAGAAATTTAAGCTTGTTGTTTTTTTGATAATTTCATTTATATTTTGTTGTAAAAATGACAATGCTACTCTCATGTCGTCTTCTACATCTAATAGTCTCGATCTTTTTTCGTTTTTATGTTAGTTAATACTGAAAATCCGAATTAAAACAAATAAGATGTCGAAAATTATAATAATATTTTTTAACTATCATGGGCTAATCGCATCTAATGTTAATCCAAAATGAACTAATTGATTCTTCCGAATATTTTAAAATTATATCTCTATTATTAGAAAGCGGAATTTCCATTCTTCCTGTTCATTCAAAGTTAATTCAAATACAGAAATATTCGCTATCACAAATGGATTACGAACCCAATCAAATTTTTTTATATCTAAATTTGGGAAATAATGAATAATTCTCTTCTCTAACGTCAAATGGTCAATAACAATTTTATGAATAGTTTTATTAAAATCTTTGGGACTGACTTTTCCAAATTGCTTTCCTGAGCTTTATTTTTCCATATTTGTTTTTGGAATCCCACCAGTTTATCTCTTGAGTTTAATATATTTTCTTTCTGCCCTTGCATACTTGAATTTATTAAAAATAACAAATTATTATTAAAAATAAGAAAAATGTCTGATAAGTAAGCTAGTTTAGCACACCATATTTTATCTTCCAACAAATGTACAAAATCATTTTTTTTAATTTGGCGGCACACTTTAAGGATTTCGCGGCACACGAAAGTGCCGCTGCACAGTGGTTGAGAATCAACTTTGAACATGGTTAAATCTTCAAAAACTATTAATTGCAAATTCTATATGAGCTTACTAGCAAAGCTGAACTTTTTGGCACCATTTCTTACATATCGGAATTATTATAGTTAGTATTATTATATATTTAATAAACTTCACAATTTATCATCTTACCTGATTCAATTTTTTCGAAATTATTATTGGACTAGGTTTACCAGACAAAAAACAAACATCAGTAACATGAAAAATACTTTACAAATGTCGTTTTTCGCTTGTCAAGCCCCCAATAATCGTTTACAGTCCGACTTGTGTCATTTAAGCATCCCTCCGGAAAATTTTCCATGTTGTCCAATTAAAACTATAATTGAATCGGTAGGAAACGACTACTACATATCAAATATCAAATAGCTTTTTTTTTATCTTTCTTTGACAAATTGTGCCCTAGAAATTTGATTTTCAAAGGCCTACCAGGTGCTTGACAAAAGAGTACATGAATGGTCGTGGAAAAAAATGAAAAAGCAATTAACTTATTTTTCGTAAAACAGAAAACAAAGTTTCTAATCTGGTAAAATTCCATAGCGAATAACTAAGTCAATATATCAAAAGCTCCCACGCGCTTTATAGTATTTCCAATTCACTAATTTCGTGGTCCTCTTGACAAATTAATATATTACAATTAATTAAGGTTTTTAGTTGAGATAAAAAACAAAAATGGCAAAATTGAAAAATGGCAAATAGGAGGGAAAATTCAAAAGGGGCGGTTGAGATGGAAAGTTGGTGTCCGAGTGGATCGAGGTCACGATAGCTCAGGTGGTAGAGCACGGCGTATCAAGCCGTAGATCGTGGGTTCGAATCCCGCTCGTGCCATTGAATATTTTATCTCAACTAATAACCTTAATTAATTGTAAGTATTTCCAATTGTGAACACTCTAGATCAAGTTATGGTCTTGAAGAAAAAAGCAAACTTAGTTGCTACTGCCAAGATTTCGACCTATTTTAAAATCATCATCAGGCAAAACAACCTTAAATATGTCTATAGATTGATATATTTAAATTTTTATAGGCAATATCATATTTCCTTGAAGATCGATTGAGTCTTAACATTCTCAAGGACTGTAACCTTGTTTGGTACGTGTCTATCTGTAGACATTTAAGGTTGTTTTGGGCTGATGATGACCTTAAAATAGGTCGAAAGCTTGACAGAAGCATCTAAGTTTGCTTTTTTCTTCAAGACCATAACTTGATCTAGAGTGTTCGTAAGTGACAAAAATAGTCGATACTTTTAATACTGAAATTTCCAATTCTATTGCTCATGTGATGGCATGTACTATTTTAAAAAAATTATATGACTTACATATAGGTAATAAAATAAAAGGTGAACATTTATTATTGTTGTCTGGTTAGTTAGATAAACAAAATGCTTAGCTACATTGGAAATGCTTAACAAACTATTCAAAAAAATAAGAAGTTATTTCCATTCGCCAGCAACTTCATAATAAGAAAATTCCTTCTGAAGAATCTGCAGATACATTTGTATTTGAATATCATCGATTGCCTCCAGAAGAATGAGACTATTCATGGTCCGTTCTCATTGGTACTTATTTTTAAGGACCTATTAATGTTCTCCCCATCATTCTTTTTAAATATCTGTTAAATTAAGTAAAGTTTTTTAATGAACTATTATCAGACCGATCTTATGCTTAGTTCTAATATTTTTTTCTTGTTTCTTCTCTCACGCTCACTTCTGCTCTCTTTCGCAATCTCTATCTTACTCTCTTTCTCTCTATCTATCTCTCCATCTATCTTTATCAATCTAACTCTATCTATTTATCTATCGATTGATCTACATATCTATCTACACATACCCTGTTTGTATTTATGTACCTACCTCTATCTATTCTTATATTACTTTCCCTTTCATTTTTTTTTTGATCTGGTTCTCTTTCTTTCTTTACTTCACACTATCTTTTTCTATATATCTGACAATCTGCCTCTTTTCTTGTCTAATATATCAATATACGGTATATGGTTCACTTAATCTTAAGCATAACAAAAATTGAGACATATTATTATATAATCACCTATGAATGTACTAATTATATATTAAATCTATCTGCATAAACATATGTATGTATGTATATGTTTGACATCAGCCTCTGTATCGTTACCATTGTCTCTTGTTTTTAATTGATTACCGGTTTAATTACGAAGACGTTCTTATTTTCTTGAAGGGGTTTCTAATCAAATTGATCAATCCCAGTATCTGCCGTGCTAATTTACCGATTCCAGTCACGCTTTCCAGCATTCCGTTTATAGTAACGGCCGATTATATTTATTGGTGTTGACAAAAAAGCGTGTCTAGGTTTTATTACGCCGTGATTGGTTTATTTTGCGTTCCCTGGTAAGAACTTCATTTAGATAATTAGTAATCTTCTTTCGGAGTTCAAGGACTAGACGTAAAAATTGTGAGGCACTGGAAAAAAGGAGCTGAACAAAACATGATGGGAAGATTTGGTCTAAAGGTCATGTAGTTTTGTTTCGAATTATTTTGATAGACCTATTTTAGGTGTTTTGGACTTATGAGTTCCAGCATGACTTGTTAGCCAAAATAGGAAGAAATGAATAGTCGTAAAGGACCTATAGAACATAAGACCTACAGATAATAAATTATTTCGCAATTTCTTACTAAGTTTAAATAGTACATGCCCTTACATGCGCTACAATTGGAAACTTCAGTATTAGAAGTATCGATCACTTTTTCACTTACGAACTCTCTGGATCAATTTATGGTCTTGAAGAAGAAAGCAAATTTAATTGCAACTGCCAAGCTTTCAACCTAT